CCTCCCGGATGACGTCCCCCACGTGCAGCAGCCCCTGCTGCGCCACCATCCCCCCGTGCAGGATGCGGGCGATGACCAGCTCCCCCCGCTCCACCCGGAATGTCACCCCCTGGGGGCAGGGAAGGGGGGGGCACAGCCCCGCGTCAGCGCCACCCCCTGTCCCCCCCCCCACAGTGTGGCGTCCCATTGCACCCCACCAGCACCCGCCAGTCACCCCACCAATGTCCCCAGCACCCCAAAAGGCCTTCAATGTCCCCAGCACCTGCAATGTCCCTAGCATCCCATGATGTCCCAGCACCCCACAATGTCCCCAATGACCCCACCGTCCCCAGCTTCCCACAATGTCCCCAGCACCCCACAATGACCCAGCAGTGTCTCCAATATCCCCAGCACCCCCCAATATCCCCAGTCCCCAGCACCCCCCAGTGTCCCCAGCACCCAGCAATGTCCCAGCAACGTCCCCAGCATCCAGAAATGTCCTCCATGTCCCCAGCAATGTCCCCAAAGTTCCCAGCACCACGTAATGCTCCCAGCACCTTGCAACGCCCCAAGTGTCCCCAGCACCCAGTAATGCCCTCAGTTACCCCAGCACCCCACAATGTCCCCAGCACCCCACAACGTCCCCAGCACCCCACAATGTCCCCAGGACCCAGCAATGTCCCCAGTTACCCCAGCACTCCGCAATGCCCGACATGTCCCCAGCTCCCCGCAATGTCCCAGCAGTGTCCCCAGCACCCCGGGCCGGGGTCTCACCAGGTTCTCTCCAGCCGTCTTGCGGATGCCCACCATGCGCACGGCGTCGGGGGGCACGGGCTGGTTGTTGAAGGTGGGGTCCAGAATGGGGCTAGGGGGGGGTGTCTCGTAACTCTTGGAGGCCACCGAGTCGTGGGTCTCCAGCAGGGACTGCAAGGCATAGAGGTGACTGTCACCCCCGTGTCTTGCACACTTGAGTGTGGCGGGGGGAGGGCAGGGTAGCCTCGCAGGCCCACCTGGAAGTGTGGCTCGCGCAGGATGCGGGCCAGCTCGGCGGCCGCGCTGTCCTGCCCTGCCAGGTGGCCGATGTCCTGCAGGATGTCCTGCACCAGCTCCAGGTTGTTGTCCCGCACCGCCTCCAGTTTCGTCTCCTCCAGCCGCTCGTGCGCCTGAAGGGGGGGCACGGCCGGGATTAGGGACCCCCCCCATCCCCGGTAATACCCTCGGCAGCTGTGGCTGCTGGGGGGCGGCGGGGGGGGGCTGGTATGGGCTGGTGTGCACACGCAGGGGCACACGCAGACACGAGCACATGTGAGCACGCACATACACACAAAAGGAGTGTGCAGACGCACAAGCACACACACACCCACAAAGGAGTGCACACATGCACAAGCACAGACACACAGGAGCAATAACGAGCACACGAGCACGCACCCACACAAGCACACACAAGCATACACATAAGCACATGCACAAGCACACACACGAGCACATACATGCATAAGCAGGCATGCACATACAGGTACACACATAAGCACAAACACGCACACGCATGCACACACACAAGCACACATGAACACACACAATGCACAAGCGCATACACACACAAGCACACACACACATGAACACACACTGCACAAGCACATACATAAGCACATGCACGAGCACATATGCACAAACACATACATGCACGAGCAGACATGCACATACAAGCACAGACACATACACACATATACACACACACAAGCATGCACACGCACAAGCACACACATGCATGGCCTCTGCGCACACACAGTGCCCTGCATGCACATGCAATCCACTCCTCTGGATGCACACACACATCCTCTCATGCACTTTTGTGCACACATATGTGCACATGCCCTTGCACACACATCAGCACATATATGCCACTGCACAACTGTATGTGTGTGCAAATACACACACTGGTAAAAATGCAGCACATGGGGCCAGCCACACACATGCGCCCCAGCACGGCCAGCGGGTGATACACACATGCACAGACACGTGTGCACACCCCTCCCCCCACCCGTTCACACCCAGCACGCTCCCCTGCCCCCGCCCCTCCCTCACCCCCACGCTGACACATGGCACTCTGATACACATGGGCGTGCACGCACCCATGTGCAAATGTGCACATTTACTTCCATGCATGCACTTACATGTACGTGCAAACATGTGCACACACCTCCCTGCATGCACACCCACGTGCAAGCATACAGCCATGCATGCATGCCCATGTGAAAGCATACATCCACGCACACACACACACGTGTGCATTGCATACATCCACACACATACATGTGTGCGTACACACATGTATGTGCATACATGCAGAGACCCCTCCCTGCACACACACACGTATGCGCCAGCATGTACATGCACACACACACACCCCAACACACATGTGCGTCTTCCTCCACACCACGCAGACACAACTGTGCACTCACACATACGCCCCCATACCCACGTCCCCACCCACCCACGTGCACCCACCGGTGCTCCCACATCCCCCCC